AAGAAAACAGATTATATTTTCCTGTTTTCTTCTCCTAAAAAATTGGTGCGTCTTATGGAAAAGTGCGTCTTATGGAGCGAAAAATATGGTACCTTCAGTTCAAAATAAGTAGAAGACTTATCAATTGAAGGGAAAAAATTCAGATTTGGGAGGAAAAGCTCTGGGCTGATGTGAATTTACTTGCAGGTTGTACAGTATTGTTACGGGAAAATAATGTGAATCTGACCATCCCAATCCAGGAGCATTTCCTGTATTAGGGTGTCCCCTTAAAGAAATAACGCATCTGTCGGGAGTGCTTTGATAGAGTTCCTGCATGGCAGGAACTTGTCTGAGTGAATAATCTTGATGGCTTGGACTTGATGGCCCCTGCGGTCTCTTCCAACTCCGTGATTCTATGATTCTATGAAATGACCTTATTTGACTATTTGCATAGTCAAGAAATGGGTTAAAAATCCTAACTCATCTTCCTCTTGTTTTTTAGCTATCAAAATCAAAGGAAGCAGAAGACCCAAAATATACTTTGGAGAAAACCAAAGTATATACAAGTCGTGCCCTCCTTTACGAATACCCCATTTAACGACAGTGAACGATGGTTTGAATGGGGTTTTTCCGCTTTGCGATGATCAGTTCCCTGCTTCGGGAACCGATTTTCGCTTTACGATGATCAAAAACAGCTGATTGTCGGGTTTCAAAATGGCAGCCGGCTGAATAAAATGCCCCCCCCGCTGTACATTTTATGGATTCCTCACTGCACAGGCACTGAAAATGGCTGCCCCTATGGAGGATCTTCACTGGACGGTGAGTTTTCAGCCCATTGGAATGCATTGAACGGGTTTCAATGCATTTCAATGGCCTTTTTTATTTTGCTTTACGACGTTTTCGCTCTACAGTGATTTCGCTGGAACGAATTAACGTCGTAAAGCGAGGCACCACTGTATGAGTTGTGGTCTCTGACACTATGTACTTTTACTTCGTCTCATCATGCCAACCTTTGGCATGTCCCCTGCTTTGCTTTTTTCAAACAAACATGCTGGATTTAAAAATGGGTAAAGTTGGAGTTGGGGGGAGGGGAATCCCTTCTCATGCCTAAACAAGGTCCTTGTCTGATCCCGATATATTGGGATACAAACCATCCCTGTAGCTGCTAATTCTGAAGCGAAGCTGCTTTATCTGAGAGATACTTCCACATTCCTCCCTTTCCCTCAGAATAAGCCCCTGGTGTGGAATTGGTCTCTATAATTCATGGCAGCCATCCCTGTAGCTGCTAATTCTGAACCAAAGCTGCTTTATCTGAGAGATACTTGCACATTCCTCCCTTTCCCTCAGAATAAGCCCCTAGTGTGGAATTGGTCTCTATAAGATAATTCATTGCAGAATTTGGAAAAGTTAGTTTTTTGGACTGCAATTTCCTAAATTCTTCAATTGGCACAACCTACAGTCCCTACATTGTGGTCCCGAAAATTAATTTTTCCAGGCCCCCATTTTAGGGACTACACAGGAAACGGGAGTCAGAAGTAGCCAGAGATAACAATATCAATAGAGACAGGCATGTAATTTGGAAAAGTTACTTTTTTGGACTGCAATTTTTTAAATCCTTCAATTGGCACGACCTACAGTCCCAGGTATTGTGTTCCGGAAAATTAATTTTTCCAGGCCCCCATTTGAGGGACTACATAGAAAACTGGAAGAGTCAGAAATGACCAGAGATAACGATAACGACAGACATACACACAGAAAAAAGCAAACCCTCACCTTGGTGGAATAGGAGTCATATTTCTCCTTCAAAATTGTGCAGTTTTTGGTCACCTACATACAAAAACAAAGGTAATCGATAAGCAAAGGGAAATATATGCAACTTTCAGCCACCAAGTACTTCCAAGGATGGTACTCTGTGCTTATCAGGAACTGCTGGATAGCTCAGTGGTTTAGGTACTTGGCTGTGGAGACAGAGGTTGGGAGGTCTGAGCAGTTTTTGGTCACCTACATACAAAAACAAAGGTAACCGATAAGCAAAGGGAAATACTGTATATGCAACTTTCAACCGCCAAGTACTCCCAAGAATGGTACACTGTGCTTATCAGGAACTGCTGGATAGCTCAGTGGTTTAGGTATCTGGCTGTGGAGATGGAGGTTGGGAGGTTTGATGTTCAACAACATCTGGAGGCCCAACGTTGAAGACCACTGCTCCAGAGGGTCCCTTCCAGCTCTGCAGTTCTAGGATTATTATTATTTTACTATCACAGTTTAGACATTCACCATAGCTACAGTTGCATCGTTACGTACCACAACAGATGGCCATCAGGGGAAAAATGTCCAAGCTAGGAAGGGTGGTGCGGGCGGGCACCCAGCTCTGCAGTTCTACGATTATTATTATCTTACTATTAGACATTTGCTACAGTTGCATCGTTAGGTACACAGCAGATGGCCACCAGGGAAAAAATGTCCAAGCTAGGAAGGGTGGTGTGGGCGGGCAATCTCAGAGGGTTGGGGGCAAAATTTATTCTTGCAGCTGCCACGACATGACACACTGGACTTGGAAATGACAAGTCCAGCCATTTGTTTAAATATAAGTAACCAATTGGTTACCTATATGGATACCTCCTGTTCTGTTTTGCTTTTTATTTTATTTTTGGATGGTGGGAGTCTTAGATGACCTTCCTAAAGGCTCCCAAAGTGAAAAACACTACTTTTGAAAGCTTCTAGGACTGAAAATAGGCAATCATTTTTTTTGGCGGGGGGAGAAAGGGAGAGATTTAAAGAAGAAACTTGCATTTTAAAATTTTGGAGAGCCACAAATGGCTTTAAAAAGCTACACCAATGCCCCTAGTGGGCACATGCAGCCCCTGTACCTCCTGTTGCCCACTCTTGTCCTCAGGACAACGAGAAAGCTTTGCAATTGGAAGAGGAGCTGGCTTATGCAGTAGAGCATATGTGATTATCCTCAGACAGCTTTCACGGTTTCAGAATTTGCCAATTAGTTTGCTTCAGTTTGGTAACTTATCATCAAGAGAAAACGAGAAGCCCAGCTTGCATGTTGATGTTGCAGACTGGGCAGCTGTGGAGATGCAGAGGATTTGTTAGCATCATCAAGAGCTGCCCTTATGTCTGTTTCGCCTCTTTATGTATGAACTGGGAAACATCACTATGCAAGTCTATTTCTCCATTTTAAAAAAAGGTACGTGTGCGGAAGAAAGTGGTTTGTAATCCACAAAAGTAGGCAATGAAATAAATTTGTTGGTCTTCACAATATGTCCGGTTTTGTTTTATTTTCCCAAAAGATGTACCTTGTCCAAGGTGCTCACATAGAGTTCATCAGGAGACCGTCCCTTTTCATGGGGAGCCAGTTGATAGCCAAAGAGGCCGGCATTGGCATTCACGGCGGCCACCCTTTCCCTTTGGTTTCTAAGCAAATACCAGGCGTTCGTATCTGTCTGAGCGAAGTGGTTTAGCGTCAGGTTGAATTTCTTAAGATATTCACGAATAATTCTAGAGAGAGCAGGAGAAAATACAGCAGAAAAGGAGTGAAAAAGTGCCTTTTTACAAATGGAAAGCAGTGCTAGAGCAGGGGATTTTTTTCATTTGACAGCATGCTGTGAGTTGGGAAACAACACTGGGAAATTAGAAAGGTGGACAGCGTATTACAGCAATACATGCTTTTCTGTTTGTTATATCAAGTTGGGTCTAAAATACAACAATAACATTTTATTTTCCCGTTTCATCTCCCCATTATATAGAACATATTCTGCAGAATTCTGGGAACTACAGGCCCCAAATATAAAATTTTCAACAGTGTCTTTTCAGTTACTTGTACACATTCTTCTTCTGAACAAAAAACCAGTGGGGCAATGGCAAATTTTGACATGTGCTTGGGCACTTCTCATTGCCACGTCCCCAGAAATGCAGGCAGCTTTATTGCTCTGTATGTTAAGTTTGGGGATAAATTAGATTTGTGGACAGCAGCTTCCAAAATGCGCTAGGCGGGATGGCCTTGCACCTTGTTTTTCCTCCCAACCCCATTTTTGAGATTCTAAAAGTCGCCTTCAGCTCTGAGCCTGTTCATTCCTGCCCTATGCCTGCCCAAAATTTAAGAAGATTTTTTTTTTTTTAAAAGGCAGCTCCATCCCTCAGTCTTATAGCTTGAGGTAGTTTTCTCCAAACTGGCATTCACTAGATGCTGCCACCTTCAATTCCTTTTGATCCTTCATTAGTGGTTGTATCATTTCTGGGACTGAAGGAATCTGGGAATCTAAAAGCACATTTTAGTGGTATTTCAAGCATCAAGTGATGCGTCTGAGGTGCCTAGGACAAATATTTTGAAGTGTGGGCTAGAAACAGACTAAATAAACTAAATGAATGAATGAATGCAGAGAGATGGACATAATGCAAAGGGTGTACCATATTTTTTCGTGTATAAGACGCCCCCATGTATAAGACAACCCCTCCACTTTTCTAAACCAAAATTAAGAAATCTAAGTGGGGCTTAGCAAGTGGAGGGGAAAGCAGGGATCAAAGCCCTGCAGGATCACTTTGATCCCTGCTTTCCCCTCCACTTATTTTTGTTCTTTCCTCAGCTTACTTCCGTGTATAAGATGACCCTCAATTTTTAGTCTAAAGATTTTAGACAAAATATAGTCTTATACACAGAAAAATACGGTATATAAAAGAAACCATTGCAAGGTTGAGAGCATGTGTCTTCCCTTTGCGCTTCTACCTTCTCATTAGAGTTGCACGAAAAGGTGGAACTTCTCCTAACCCACCACCAGGCAAACATGAACTCAGCCTGAGGTCCTTGAGTGGTGAGAGTCTAAACCCACAGGGATAAATATTTTGAAGAGTGGTCTAGTAATGCCCTACAGTAAATTAACTAAATACAGACAGATGGTCATAGCATGAATGAATTGTATAAAATAAATAATGGAACCCACCAAGTCAGGTCCACCGCTGCATGGTTAATAGCTTGTTCTCTCCCTTTGTGCTCCCACCTTGTCTCATGCTTATATTCAGGGCAAAGGAAAGGGTTTTTTTTTTAAAAGCATGACTGGGGTCATGCCCTGATTATATTCAGGGCAAAGGAAAGGGTTTTTTAAAGCATGATTGGGATCATGCCCTGCTTTGTACCTGTGTGCCTTGGGCAGACGCATAGGTCCCAAGTCCACGTACCAGTCCTTCTCGCGATAGGTCTTTATCCGACCCCCCACACGGTCACTGGCTTCCAGAATGTGAACCTAGGAACAAAAATGTTCTTGTCGCTTTTGTGTCATGTTGCCACATCTATACAGATTGCTCTCTCAGGAGTGAACATAAAAGAATAACCACTATGGGTCGTTAAGTTGATTATGACTTATGGGGACTTTTTGCAGAGTTTTCTTGGCATAAAATCTCAGAAGTGGTTTCTTTTGGGGGTGCCCTGGGAACGCACAACTTGCCCAAGCCTACACAGGCTGGATCTTCTCCTATAAGGAATAATGAGGAATCGAATTTCCAATCTCTGTCTCCAGAACATAACAAGACACAGCCCACAACAAACAAATTGTGCTCAATTTGCATGCAGCAAGTCTCAGTTTCAATCCTTACCACCCCCAAATTAAACAAATTAAATGGCATGAAATAAACAAAGTCACTTTGTTAACCCAGAGAGTCATTTTTAGTATCACCAAACAGACAATAGAGTTTGACTGGTGAAAAGCCATTTCTGAATTTTTTGTTGCAATGTTCTGTAGGAAATAGAACCAGTGGATTTTTGCCTCTCTTTCTAAGCCTATGGTTGTGGCATCGGTTAAAAAAAAAAGATAAATGGCAGAGTTTAAAGCCTCCTGCATCATCACATACTGCTACTGATCTCTATTACAGGTACTTATGCTAGAAAAAACGGGGAGAAGGATGCATGCAAAACTACACCCTACAACATGTTTCATGTAACATGTAATTTGACACACACAACCCAGTTAGTATACCTACCTGATGTCCAGCATCTTTCAGTAATTTGGCAGCAGTGAGTCCGCTTATTCCTGCGCCGACAATCACAACTATCTTTGGCTTTGCAGTTTTGGCCAGTCCATTTCTGGCAATGTTTAACAGTTCTTCATACTCAGGGTCATCAAAACACTTCATCCATTCCTCTTCTTCAACAGCATGAAGAGGTTTATAGACCAAGACTGCCGTAAGAAGTAAGAAGGTATAAAATGCTGGAAGAAAAAACAAAAACCAGGATTTAACAAGGATGATGTAAAAGGGAAAGTAAACTGAGAACAATGGTTAATTGAGCAACATGTTGTGACACTTCTGATTCTAAAGGTTCTCTTTAGGAAGAACTGTGAATCGTGTTATTATAAACAACTTTCCAGATAATTCCTGATGCCCTTAATGTAATTTGGGGTAAATAAACACCCCACACTCTAAATCTATGGCTATCCATGTTTTCTTCCATCGGTTAAATAAAAAGAATAGTCAAGAATGCTCATAGACACGTTAATCCATTGCAAGGATGTTAATCTAGTTAACAGCAGTGGGTAGTATTACTAATCATCATCATCATTAAGCGAATAACAAATTCCAATGTGAAAGATCATGGTCATTGTTTGATATTACAAACGAGGACCTTAGACTTCCAAAATTATTAAGAGGAGAAAAATAAACCACTTACAGAACTGGTCCATGTTTTGATGGTCAATGCAGAAACACCACTGAGCTCTCTCATTTTATAGCTAGAATGTGACTGATGGCCAGCCCATGGTGATTCAGAACTGGGGGAAAAAATGTAACTTTTTCAACTGAAACTCTTTCATTGGCAAGCCATTCAAAGGACAGTGCCCCGACACATCTACCTGGAAAAGATTACGTGAAGCACCATGACACATCATGGCATGTGTATAACTGTGATACACAATGACAAGGAAACAGGAAATATGTGACAGACTAGCCAAGGGGCAATAGTGTTTGTGCCTTGGGTCCTTTTTAGTATAAAAGGCAGGTAAAAATATTTCCAGTAAAAGAAATATAACTGGAATGCTCATACGAGATAAGGAACCTCTTAGGTAAAGGTAAAGGTCACCCTAGTCCAATTGTGCCCAACTCTAGGGCACGGTGCTCATCCCCGTTTCCAAGCCACAGAGCCAGCCTTTGTCCAAAGACAGTTTCCGTGGTCACGTGGCCAGCATGACTAGACACAGAACACCGTTATCTTCCCACCAAAGTGGTACCTATTTATCTACTCGCAGTTTTACATGCTTTCGATCTGCTAGGTTGGCAGGAGCTGGGAAAAGCGACGGGAGCTCACTCCGTTGCGTGGATTTGATCTTACGATGGCTGGCCTTCTGACCTTCTGACCTTGCCAATTGACCGTTTTGAAATTACGGTATTTTGCGAGAAATGCAAGAGCTTGGGGGCACAGAAAGTCTTCATTATAGTAGAAGAACTTCCTCTTTCATCAAGTGACAGAACGGGAAATCTCAGCAGTTGCTGCTTAACTTGTTCTGCCACGCTGATCACTCCAGTACTGATTAGCATAGACTAGGCTCAGGCTGGGTCACCAAAAAAAAAATCAAAAACATGTAAGGTATTAGACCAGAGTATCACCAACTTGCTCTTCTTTGATAATGAAATACCACCAAGACAAGCGTTTCATTCCAAGCATACTTTATAAACTCGTTGTTGGCCAGTTCTCACATACTGAGGTGAGGAAATAGGTCATCTCACCGGCACATTTCTAATCCTCATCCCCAACCAAGACAGCTGTCCTCCTACTGCTGACAATGGTAATTTCCTCATCATGAATCTGATGGCTGATCAACTGGATAGGAAGGAAAAGCAGGTGAGATCACCAAACATACAAAGGTTTTTAAGAAGTTTCCTACAATGCTGAAGGGCTTCGGGTTGTTCACATGTCCTGTATATTTATATCACGCTTCCCTGTTATTTAAATGTAAAGCAGCTTATAAAATATAGACGTCCTAATTCCATGATAGCTTGAAGATCTGGAATGTTGACGTTGATATGGCACACTCACCTTCAAGTGGCCATCCTGGTGATTATCTTCATAACCAGGTAGCGCTTTGAACAACCCACCACAGATAGGAACATTTGCTCTCTTTGGACTACAACCCTCTGAATTCCCCAACTAGTGTGGCTAGCAATTGTGGGATTCTGAGAGCTGTAGTAAAAGAAAGAAAATTTCCCAGCCTCTGTGTAGACATGCAGAACAGACACATAGTCAAGTTACTTGCTAGGAACCTCACCAGGTTGGTATCTTCCACAGTTTACACTCTGTTGATATAGCCTTCAGGAATCTAGGATCTATGAGGACTTTGTGATGGAATCCAAATCAATGAAATGTAATCATAGAACTACAATGTCGAAGGGATCCTATGGATTACTGAGTCCAGTCACTGTCAAGGAGACACAGTGGGGAATCAAGATCACAACTATATCTAAACCACTGAGCTATTCAGCAGTTCATCTCAACATTAACATCTAGAAAGAGTATTTGCTTGCTTGCTTGCATGTTTGTTTGTTTGTTTGCTTGCTTGCTTACTTATTTGATTTATATACCACCCATCTAGTCAGAGGCCACTCTGGATAGTCTGCAACATAACAACATAACAAAACCCTGCAAATGTGAAAGAAAATCCAAAACAACAAAACATAATACAATATCACAACAATTTAAAGACAATTTAAATTTATATACCACCCATCTAGTCAGAGGCCGCTCTGGATAGTTTGCAACATAACAAAACCAATAAGCAGTCCCTGCAAATGTAAAAGAAAATCCAAAACAACAAAACATAACACAATAGCAAAACAATTTAAAGACAATTGTTGTCTTTAACAATCTTAAACAATCTTAAACAATTAAAATTAAATATTTTAAATGGTAGTGGGATAATCTTGGTGGCTGACAAGTACCACCACAAAAAAACAGGGAATTAATTTTAGAGGACCCGATGCAGCACCCATCAAAACCCAAAGGCTGCCTGATAATAGTATCCACCTAATTACCAACTAAAAAAGAGCTTGACAGGGCTGTCCTGAGACATGGATTGAGCAGACTCTGTAACATTAATGATGACATCTACCATTTTGAAATGATTTTGGTGGGATTCCTTTTAAGATACAGAGCCCGACGTGGTGGTTATTCCTGGGAGTGATATGTCGTTGCCTACATGACGTGAGTCAATTGGGTTGGTCTGACCTACTCCAGAGTGTCCATTTCAGGTGGGATTCCTTTTAAGATACAGAGCCCGGCGTGGTGGTTATTCCTGGGAGTGATATGTTGTTGCCTACATGACGTGAGTCAATTTGGTTGATCTGACCTACTCCAGAGTATCCGTTTCAGGCTGTTTTGTTTTTTCCCCCCAACATTGATTTTCTGCCCAGAATGGGTACTGGAATAATAATCCTGCGGCAGTCTTGTTGTTGATTGCATCAATCCCCTCCAGCTGGATGGGGCAGATAAATTTGGTTGGGCTAACGTACTGGAATAATAATCCTGCGGCAGTCTTGTTGTTGATTGCATCAATCCCCTCCAGCTGGATGGGGCAGATCAATTTGGTTGGGCTAACCCAGTGGTTCTTAACCTTGGGTTACTCAGGTGTTTTTGAACTGCAACTCCCAGAAATCCCAGCCAGCACAGCTGGTGGTGAAGGCTTCTGGGAGTTGCAGTCCAAAAACACCTGAGTCACCCGAGGTTAAGAACCACTGGGCTAGCCTACTCGGAAGTTGTTGTTCCAAGTTGTTTTTGCAATATCAGTTTTCTGCCTGGAACAGGGACTGGAATGTGAACCCTGGGGGCATTTTGTGGCTGGTTCTGTTGGATAGCCGCCTTCGTGGCTCCGTCCACCTGCTGACCTATTGAAACTCCTCCCAGTTAGATTTGCCCACCCTATATTATCCTCTCAGGCCAGGGGATTGAGAATACAGTATTGACTCCCGAGAGGGGCCCAGAAAGTGAGGGCTAGAAACCGGGCCTTCTTGGTGGTCACTCCACAACTTTGGAACAGCCTCCCGCCTCAAATCCGCCTGGCCCCTTCACTGGGAACTTTTAAGCGATTGTTTAAAAAAAACATGTTTTTTTAGACAAGCCTTTCCAAACCTTTAACATCCTAATACAGTGGTGCTTTTAACACTTATGTTATCAACCCTGCCACCTTGCTTTTTAAAAATCATTTTAGTTATTCGTTAAATTGTGTTGTGTGTTTGTATAGATTTCTGATTTATTCTATTTGTTTTTGTTTAAATTGTAGTTTAATCATATGTGGCTCAATTGTGTAAACCACCTGGAGTGGCCCTGACAGCTGGATGGGCGGCATAAAAAGTAAAGCAAATAAATACAGTGGTGCCCCGCATAGCGAGTGCCCCGTTTAACGGCGAATCCACATAGCGGGTAAACAAAATGGCCGCCCGTAGCGTTTTCGCGCAGTTTCCTCGCTTACTGGGTGGCAAAAATAGCAGCCGGATGGAGGATTTGCGCATAGCGGTGAGTTTCCCCCCATAGGAACGCATTTAACGTGTTTTTTGCTCCGCATAGCGAGGAATCCGGATAGCGACTTTTTTTGGAACAGATTAGCGTTGCTATGCAGGGCACCACTGTAAACAAATATATTGGTTGTTGTGGGTTTTTTGGAGAATAAATATATTCTCGAAGGTAAAATAAATAAATAAATAAATAAATAAATACATTGGGCACCATTTTAAAGGTCAGTAAAGCAAGAGAGCCCTTCCTCTTCTGTAGGGCTCACTTGTCCCGCAAGTGGCAGTGGCGGCTAGAGAGTGCAGTGGCAGCAGTGGGGGCATCTTTGATGGTCTGGAAGACCCCTGCCACCACTGCTGTCCCCAACATGCATTCCCTGGCTGCTGCTCCCCAGTTTCCTGCCAGACAAGCAAAACCATGCACAGGAGGAAGGGCACTGGTGATTCAGAACTAGGAAAAAAACCTAGCTTTCTCAACAGGTGAAGACAACATTTCCAGGCAGCCAAAGACTTCATAATTGGCTACCTAGCTTTGTTCTTGACTGGAGGTGAGGATCAGCCAGCAGCTCAGTTTTCACCTTATTAAAGCAGACATGCAATTGGAATAGTTTTGCTCCAGTTTGCAGTAAAAAGCTTACTGTGCGTTACCTTCAACGTGTAGTTGCAGCCTACATTTCCAGTGCCCTGTGTCACTCAAAAAGGCAAAATCCTGGGCTAAACTACACAGTGTTTTTAAATTATAACACGGCCTTTTAGGTTCCCCCTCCCACCCAGTTTTAAGCAAGCACACTTGGTTCCAGTCCAGAAGAAGACCAGTATAACTGGGCAAGGGAGATTTCACGGGAGAAAGAAAAGGAACAATCTGTTTTACTTTGTCCACCCTTTTCTGTGAATGCCCAGAATGTTGTGCAGGACTGGAATCCTCACACAGAAATAACCACAGAAGAACATCAACAAGGAAGTCTTTTGGGGCTTAATCCTGGTGGACCCACCTCATGCCAAACCAGCCTATTTCCCGCTGCCTTACCCAATCTGTCAAGAAGACAGGTAAAATGTGATGCTCATTTTGAGGGATGCCTACAAGTTATTCACTAAAGTGAATGTCTTGGAGAGCAAAATAAACTAATCTCAAATATATAACTGGCTTGTAGCTTGTCAAAGAGGATATTTTTTTTGAACAGGACAGCTC